GGTTTTTTCCCCATGCATGCATAACTTGGTGATCAGCCAACAATTAGGACAGGTTATGCTTACATTTTCTGCTTCACTGTGACTGTGATTTCTTGTTGCCACGATGTCTTCCAGTTTCCACTGCTTTTTCAGCTCTGAGCTCTTATCTCTGGCAACTTGGGCCAATCAGGGTACAATTTTCTGTTGCTTTAGCCACAAAAGTTGGGGAGTTCCCGAAGGCCAGAAAATCACAGACTCACAGCTCTTACCAGTTGCAGATTTTGGGAGAATAAGCTTTTCTCCCATTCCTGTCAGCTCTTGAACATTCTATTGTGCCTTGAGTTGTTGATTTTAAAAAATATTTTGTCCAGGTTTGAAAATTTTTATCCGTGAAACAGTGTGCCTGATCGCGTCACTTGTCACGACGCTGTGAGTTCTCTAACTGTAGTCCTGGTTTGCGTTTTTCTCATCATGAGTCAGGTGAAACATCTGCATACATCGTGTCTATTTTGATAGTTTTGTGACTAACTCACATCTTTTGCCAGGTTTTTTTCCTTGTATTTTAAAGAATTTTTCATATTTTAGGGACATCGGCCCTTTGTGTGTCCTGTACAGGGCGGCTATTTACTCTCAGTCTGTCGCAGCTCTTTAGACTTTGCTTCTGCTGTGTTTTTGGTAACGCATTTTAAAAATAAATTTTTATGTAGCTGAGTCTGGCCAACTTTCATTGCATCTGGGTTTTGAGTCACAGTTAGAAACTTTTCTCTGTACCCATATTATAGAGGAATTCACTCCTGTCTTCTTCCAGTACTCAGATACTTTCCTTTTTTTGACCTTCAGGACCTGGATCCGTCTGGAGTTTAGTCTTGTATGTGGTCTGAGGCAGGGTCTAATTTTTAGCCCTTCCAATGGCTATCAGTTGTGCCAGCACTGGTTAGTAAAAAGTTCCAGTAATTTCAGAGGCCACTATCATAATATGCTAAATCTCCACATATATCTGGGTCTATTGCTGGACTCTCTATTCTGGTCTACTGGTCTACTTGTCTTTTCTTGTGCCAGAACCGCACTATTTTAAACACAAAGAAGTTACGGTGTTCTCACGTGTTAGCACCAGTCCTTCTCACGGCTTTTCTTCCATATCTCCTTAGCTTCTCGCACACGTTCAACTTTTCAAGCCTCATATTTGCTGTTATTTTTTATTGGGATTGTATTACATTAATGAATGAACTTGGGGAGAACTGCTGACAGCTTCAGGGTGTTCAGCCATCCTAGCCAGAAACAAGGGATGCTTAAGTCTAGCTTTCTCTCTTTCAGGACTGTTTTAGAGTTTCCCTAGTATAGGTTTTACACATTTATTGTTGTTTATTCTAGGTATTTTGTTTTCTTTGTTAATATTGTAAGTGGGGTTTTCTCCACCACTATATCTTCTAATTGGTCATTATTTGTGTATATGAATGCTACTGATATCCGTATATTAAATTTTTATCCTACCCTTTCACTGAAAGGATATATATAGTAGAAGAAGTAATAAAATTGTATATATGTGTGTGTGTATACATGTATATATACACACATATATATACATACATACACACATACATAAGTATATATACAATTTTATTACTTCTGGTATATATATATATAGATCTTTTCAGTGAAAGGGTAGGATAAAAATTTAATATACAGATATCAATAGCATTCATACACACACACATACACATATACACACACACACACACACACACACACATCTATCTATCTATCTATCTATCTATCTATCTATCTATCTATCTATCTATCTATATACCAGAAGAAGTAATAAAAATGCAGGTTTATTTGGGAAAAGCAAACACATCGCCTGAGGCCATGTTTCCAGATGCATCCTGATGGCTGCATTTCCAGGGCTTTTGGAAACGCATTAATCACCCAAACTTCACTAAATACAGTCAATTATCTTTAAAGGAGATTTAAATACTAAGAACCTCTTCGACCACAATAGATGAATCCTGATAGAATGGGAGAAAAATATGAAACAGCACCTCAAATTCTCAAAAAAAAAAAAACAGACTTACTGGACATGTTGAGCCTGCAGGATTCCATGAGACTATTGCCCTTAGATCCTCATTAAACCTTGAATCAAAACTAACACCTGAGGTCACCTTTTAGCTAAATAACAGATTGACTTACAAAATAAAGAATATCATTCATGAGTACCCATGTACTCCTTTAAAAAATCACTTGTGAGACCAAACAGTCAACAATTACTTTAAAACAAAGACGAGGATGTAAGGATGCAGGGAAACTAGATTAATGGAAATGGAACAATCAGGATGGAAATAAGAGAATGTTCACGCATTGTGAAGAATGTATCCAATGTCACAGAACAATTTGTGCAGAAGTTGTTGAATGGGAACCTAAACTGCTATGTAAACTTCCACCTAAAACACAAAATATTATTTAAAAGAAAAGAACGTCTTTTATAGACCAACACAGTCACCATTTCTGGTGCCATTTCTATCATCTGTGTCATTTCTGAGTTAGTTAGATTAGTTTTTCTCCTCACTGTGGGTCGTGTTTTCCTGTGTCTTTGTATGTCTGGTAATCTTTGATTAGATGCCAGACATTGTGAATTTTACCTTACTGAGTGGTGGATATTTTTGTATCCTTAAATATTCTCGAGCGTTGTTCTGGGACACAGTGAAATTACTTGGAAACAGTTTGATCCTTTCAGGTTGTGCCTTTTAAGTTTTGCTAGGTGAGGCCAGAGCAGCATTTAGTCTAAGGCCATTTTGCTCCACTACTGCGACAAACCCCTTCTGAGTACTCTCCCTGATGCCCAGTGAACAATAAGGTTTTCTACTCTGACTGGAAGCTCTGTCTGAGCTGCAGGGATGGCTCCCTCTAATCTTTCTAGGCGGCTCTCTCTCTGGTCTTGAGAAGTTTCCTCATGGTCATCCACTGATCAGTATTTAGCTGAAGACTCAAGGGGGCCTCTACAGATCTCCAGAGGGCTTTCTCTGTGTGGCTCGCCCCTCTCCAGTGCTCCATCCAGTGAACTCCAGCCACCTTTGTCTCCTCAGCATCCTGGTTCCATTTCCCCAACTCGCAGAGATCACCGGGCTCTGCCTGGGTCCCCTCTCCTTATGCTGCAGCCTTCCACGCAGTATGCTGGGGCACTCCCAGGGCTCACTTCATTGTTTTTCAGCGATCATTGTCCTTCACTGCCTGATGTCACATCTTGAAAACTATTGCTACGTATGTTTTACCAGGTGTTTTAGTTATTTCAGGTGGAAGTGTGAAGCCGGTTCCCATCATTCCATATTGGCTGGAAGTGGACTGTTGGCGACTATTCCCAGAACACCGAACTAGGCATTATCAATGAGGGACAACACATTGAACATATCATGGGATGTCACTGAACTTATCACGTATCGTAATATAATATCAACCAACCGTTATTATGTACATTTGTCCTGTGGTTCGTCATCACTGCACATCCTCCACCACCCATACAACAGTGATGGGAGATGAAATCTCCAGAGAGATGGAAGAAAGAGAAGACAACCACCTTCCAAATGTCTGCAGGCATCTTTCTAGAGGCTGGCACGTTATCAGCACTCGAGTGCTTGTGGAACAACTGAATCAATGCATGCAGGCTTACATGAACGATAACTGTATGAATGCATGAATGATTGCTTTCCTACCCCACCAGGTCTCCACTACACAGACCAAACACCCCCACTTCCTTCAGACCCTCCCTCCCAGGACACAGCTCTCATTGGCAAATGACTGCTTTAGCACTTGCCTGGAGCCCTGGTGGCACAGTGGTGAAGCACTCAGCTGCTAACCAAAAGGGCAGCAGTTCAAATCCACCAGGTGCTCCGTGGAAACCCTACGGGGGCTGTTCTACTCTGTCTTATAGGGTCGCTATGTGTTGGAATCGACTTGACAGCAACAAGTTAGAGCCTTTTTGCCTGGGAAGAAACCCTCTGGGTTCTGAGGGTCAGCACGTTCTACACACCATCCGCTGCCTTATTTTGGATGATTTCCTTGCTCTCAATTCCTTCCTCACTGCATTACTATTATTAGCGTGATGCTGAGCTGATACTCCTTTTTCGTTCATTCTTTTGGAAGTGAACTCCTCCTTTAATTTCCTCACCATAACCCTGGCGACCTCCTGGCTTTGAGGAATGTGAGACCACTTTTCGACTGTGAGTTTTCAGTCTATCAGAACTCTGCCTTATCTTTTCTGTTTGCAAAATGCATCCAATGTTTTTATTAATAATCTGCACTCTATTGTTATCTACCATCAGGGTATTACCAGCTAGGAAAAGAGAGCTTGTGAGTGCTACTTTGTTTCTGAAATTAGAGACACTGCAAGAGAAACAAGCACTTTTATCTGTCATTGCTAAAACAAGTTCAAAGAAAACAATAACAAATAAACAACCCAGTATTTCCAAAAGGTTTCCAGCATAAGGATTTTTATTCCGGCCCCTCACTCAGCTGCAGGTAACCTACAACAGACTACAGACGAAAGGAATTAGGGAGGGCACAGTAAACATTTCCAGAAAACAATAAAGTAGGGAATATTCAGTCTTACTGCTCTCAGACAAGTTACCAGTCTTAATTTCAATCCTAACATTGGGTGACAGAATTCCTAATTCAGGCGGGATAATCAATTTAAAACAAGACTGCAACCAACAGAGCTTGGAAACTTCAACTACACTATCTTCTAAAACATCTGAAAGCCCTGTGACAGTCGGGTTAAGGCTCTGGGGGTGGAAAATCTACCAGAAGACTGAATACAGTTATACGAGTACGAGGAGACAAAACAGGAGAAACAATGGTCAGGCAAAGCCAGAACCGGTACGCTCAATGGGTAGGAGAGGCGGGTTAAGGATGGCAGAGGAAGGGAAGGCCTTACCTCATAGGGTGGCTAGATCCACACTGTTGAGTGGCTGAGGTCTGGGCAGTCCTGGAGGAACGCTTGTTCCCTTAAACACAGTCGCCACTAGATAGCCTTACGTTTTCTCAGCGATGGTGCTCAGCCCTTTGCTGCCGTGCGTGGCTATGAGAACAGGGTGGGGCTGCTCAAGGTGAAGGTGTGGTGGTGACGGCATGACGGGCAGAGTCCAAGGGCCTGGGCTGAGGGCCTTCTCTGGGGAAGTGGGGGCCGGTATTACTTTATGGTGTTAGCGTTCTTGTTGTACTGGGACCTAAACTGGCCCGGAAAATGGGGAACGATCTCACGTGTACTATTCTCAAAAGAGGCATCAGGGTGTTCTGGAGATAAGCGACGTTGCTCCCTTCCTGCCTTGGGCTTGAGGTGTCCCTTGGGGTAGGACTCTTGGGAGTCGCAGGAAGAGCTGTTGGAGTCTGAGGACATCCTCTCCTGGGGATACACCTTCTTGGCAGGTTTCTTCTTCCTTCCGTGGTTCTGTTTTAGCTCTTTTAAATCCCCAGCGTCAATGTCTTTCAGTGGCCATATTGTGAAAGCAGAATTCTTCTTCTCCGCCTCTAGCCTAAAGAGAGAAGTCAGGGTTACCCTGGGCCTCCTGAGAACACAGCTGCTCCATGCCTCCTGCTGTATCTACAGAGATGTCCAAGCCCACAGACAGTCCTCAGCTCTTTGTCCACTGTCCTTCTTCACGTGGGAAGACCTCTCAGGAGTCCTGTGGGCCCTGATCATTTACTCGTGACTTCACTTCCACAGGCCTTTGGGGTCTGGGAGTCTCACGTGGCATGGAGGCCCTGACCTTTTTGACCCTGCTCTGACCAAGTCAGTGAAGGAACAATGCCCAGCTGAGAAGCCCACTGGCAGGTCTCAGCATTCACCCCTGCCTCCCCCAAGCTGATCGGCTTGGCCATATGACAGTCCAGTTCATTTCTGATTTACCAGCTGGAGCTGGTACAATAGTCACTCTTCCACACTCTCAGGTTTCTATAATTACCTCAAGGTGTACTGTTAGAAAAAATTTCCCCAGACTCTAAACACAATATGATTTTAAATTAAATTTAATTGAAACACTTAGGTATGACTATGAAATCATAAAGCTGGGCTTACTATTTAGAAAATATACTGGACAAAGCTTATTTATCCAGATATGTAGTCCTTCAAAGAAGGCATCTTGAAATGCCATGACTTCATTCTGAAGGCATCCTGGGATGCCATGGCCTCATTCCAACCATGCCACCATGGCTCACCATGTTGGAAACCCTCATCCTAAGGGTCTTCAAGGTAAGTTAAAGAGACCAGCTGCCTGCTTCTAAACCTTATTTTGTTCCCATAATCAGTTTCTACCACCTTGATCACCCTGCCTTCACACTGAGTAAATTTTGATCATTGTTGCTTCAGATCCTTCTGGAAGTCATCAGGGGGAAAAAAATGATCTGGGAAAATGTTTTTTCACTGTTTCCACACAAGAAATTCCATCAATCAAATCCCTCTTCAAAGGATCAAGATTCACCACATGTGATAATTTTCAAAGATTGGCTCAAATACTCGGGAGATAATTCCCAAGAGAGGTTAAAAAATTGGCCTGAGCCATAGCAGTAAAATTGGAAAAAGGCCCCCTGGGAGTTCACAGAGAAACTGATCGTTGAACATAAGGCCACAGTGTAGCTTGTGTGGATGTGTAAGTTCTGTGATACCAGGCTTGTAAAGAGTCATCTGGGTACCACACTGCAAGGTTGTAATCACTGCCTCTGTTTTGTGAAATCTAAACTCTTACCCACCACATGACCTTCAACCATTCTCAAACTGCTACCTCCCTCCAGAGCAGACTACTATGATACGTTCTCTTTCCTTTCCCGTGGTTTTCTCTATTTCTATGGTATTAGGATTGGTCACAGTCCAGTCTACAACCTATTGTTGTTGTTGTTAGTTGCTGTCAGTTGATTCCAACTCATGGTGACCCCATGTGTTAGAGAGTAGAACTGTAATCTTAATAGAATCAGATCACCAGGCCTTTTCTTCTGTGATGCCACTGGGTGGGTCCAAACTGCTAACCGAAACCATCTGAGCTACCTAGGGACCATCTATCACCTATAACCTCTCAGAAAGAACAGCAACAGGAGGAGGGGGGTGGGGGAGAGTAGAGCATTTTTCCAGGTAGATTGAAGAGGAGGGGCCTGGCACTGTCCCGGAGCAACGCCAGGAAGGATACCTTGGAAGAAACCCTGAGAGAAGAAGGACAAGAAAAACCAAGAAGCAGCATGCGGATAGTGCTCGGCAGGAGACTGATCACATAAGTAGCAGATCACCTACATCATGAAATTCTAGGCACTGCTATGGAAAGATGCAAATAATACAGCAAGTGGGAAAAAAAGCTACAAAACAATGTATATTTTCATTTTTGTTGTTAAGATTATGAATAAAAAAATAACTTTGCAATCTTTGCATCAAACTGTTAATAGCCACCTCTGGGGAATGGATTCCAATAGAACTGTTACTTTCTCCACACTTAAAATACTTTACACCTGTCACACATGATAAGGAGAAACAGTAAAGATTTTTGCTTTGAGGGAAAGTAAGAATCAGCAAAGCACAAAAAACACTCTGGAAAGACAGACACCAAAATATAAATGGTGATTACTTTTGAAATGTGAGATGATGGGTGATTTTTATGTTATTTTTGCTTGTCTTTAATTTCCAAATTATATTAAATATGCATTACTTTTGGAATAAGAATAAAACAATACAAGCTGTCATCACGAGAATAAAACACAGACAGGCACTTTGATCAAGGAAAAGACTTGACCTCAATCAAGCAGACACTGCTTGACCACTCTCCAGAATGGTGGACCTTGACCAAGTTTGAGATATTTCACAAGGAACTCCTCTCGTGGGCCAGAGGTGGGGTGGGAAGCAGGGTAGGAGTGAATCTGGGGCGACAGCTCTTATCCACCCAGCCCGCACACACCTCCACTCTGCAGAATGGGGGAGTGTGGCTGTGTGCACGACTTCTAGCCAGCGGATGCCCTTGGTCAGCACGCCTGGGAAGGCTGTACTAAATGGCTTCCTTTTGCTCATTCTCCTAGTTAAATTAGGCGCTCTACTAATTACATCAGGCTATGTTTTGGTTGAATAATATGATAAATGGACCAATGATGTGTGTGTGTGGGAGGTGGGTGGCGACCTGGTGGAACCAGGTCCGTGCCATCATTGACCCTTCAGCAAAGGCTGGTTCCACTCTGGGAAGAAGGTGCTGAGGACCACTCATGCTCTCTGTGGGTGAGACCCGCCTCATGGCCTTGACCGAGCATTGGCAGCTTGCCCATGTTCCTGCTGATTACCCGGGGCCTGGCTGCTCTTCTGCTCCAAGTGCCTTCATGTCAGCAAGGCCTCTTAAAGAACAGGAGGACCTACTGGGGTGGGCACCAAATAGATGTTAGATGAGGGCCAGGAGGCTCCTGAGTTTAACAATTCAAAGGGCAGAAAACGAAGAAACTGATGAGCGAAGGCAGTTGCCATCCAAGCTGCGCCCACCAGCCCTCAGGGTTAACGTATCTCTACGGCTCTCTGTGTTCATTTGTCCTAAGTACTTGGCCCCACAGCATGCCTTCTGAAGACAGGCAATGGCCTTTGCCCCTCTGGGCAGTATAGGACACTCACCAAACCCAAATCCACTGCCGTCGAGTCGATTCTGACTCATAGCGACCCTACAGGACAGAGTAGAACTGTCCCATAGGGTTCCCAAGGAGTGGCTGGTGGATTTGAACTGCCAACCTTTTGGTTAGTAGCTGAGCTCTCAAACACTGCACCACCAGGGCGCCAGGACTCACAGAAGGGTTTATGGTTGAACTGCCTGTCCTCCAGGGCTTTGCTCCAGCATAGGAAACGGGGCTCCTAATCTTGCCGCGCAGCCCTGGTGGCGCAGTGGTGAAGAACTCAGCTGCTAACAAAAGGTTGGCAGTTCAAATCCACCAGCCACTCCTTGGAGACCCTGCAGGGCAGCTTCTACTCTATTGTATCGGGTCACTATGAGTTTGAATCGACTCCATGGCAATGGGTTTTTTTTTTTTTTAAATCTTACCAGAAGGGACCGAGGGAGCTAATGACATTCAGAAGCTTAATGATTTCAAATGCAGGGCTTCTTCTAAGGGGGAAATGGTAGTGAGTGTGAGAGATAATGGGAAGTGATTCATCTAATGTAAGGTCAGAGCAGCTCTGAGTTCTGGCGTTTCAATCAATGACTTAATTTTACTGCTGCCAGGAAGACATGGGAGGGCGCGCGGCACGGAGCAAAGGAAGGAGGGTGAAACAATTATAAGAACCGTTATTTCCATTGGGACACAGATTTAGAACTAAGTCCAAATGGCCTGATGGAAAATTACCAAACTGCTCAACAGAAAGAACCCATCCCCACCTCTCACGGTGCAGCACCCTCAGGCAGGAAGCTGAAGAGGGGCCTGAAGAAAATACCCTGTCACCACAGCTGAGGGCCCTGGGAGGCGAGGAAAAGAGGAGGGACTGAGGATGCAGAGTTGGATGTCTGGCATCTGAGTTCTCCCGGATGTTGGGGGCCATGGGTGGTTCTAGGGGACTAAATATTTGAAAGTTAAACTTAGTCAAATTACGTCCTGTCGTAGATGCGACCTACAGTCATTTCTTTAACAGCCCATAAAGATTCTGTTTTTTAAATAGTCTCATTTGGTGTGAACACTCACAGAACAATCTGAGGGGGAGGACCCATTGGTAAAGTAAGTGATAAGAGATCCTGATGAGAAAGGACTTACCAGGAGGAAACCCCTACGCCTTTATTTTGTGTGCTCAATTCTGCTAGCCCTGCTTACAGAAGCAGAGGCAGGATACACTACCAACTTAGGTTGAATGTGACCTCTGCTTAGGAGAATTAAAAGCAGACTCTTGCTATCGGAGGGCTAGCTAGAGCAAAATACGTGGAAATTACAGTGGGGATGCTAGAGCACCAGCGAAAACGTGTACTGTGTAAAGTCCTAGAAGTTAAAGTAGATAATCAGCTAAGAGCTTTACATATGGCCTGGGGTAGTAGTAAGATGGAACAAAAATTAAAGGCTTTTATCAAAATAGAAAGAATTGAATTTTAATTCCAAAATAGTGATTGCTAACCTTAAGTTTAGTGAAAATAGACAGTATCTAGACACACCTCCCAGATTCCTTCATGACGTATTGTAATCTGGGTATCCTACTGTTTGAGTATAATTTCGAGATTAACAAAAAGACTTATCATTTTATTTTAAGATTTATCGTTTTAAATGAAATGTTATACTCATCTAGAAAAAGAATGTAAGACTGTATTGTATATTTTTGTTATGGATTGAATTGCATCCTCCCAAAACGTTATGTCAACTTTTCTAGGCCATGATTCCCAGTATTATGTGGTTGTCTTCTATTTTGTGATCTGCTGTGATTATCCTATGTGTTATAAATCCTAACCTCTACGATGTTAATGAGGCAGGACACAATCTACAGGATTAGGTTGTATCTTGAGTTGATCTCTTTTGAGATTCAAGAGAGACAAGTGAGCACAGAGGAGAGGGACCTCCTACCACCAAGAAAGAAGAGCCAGGAGCACAGTGGGTCCTTTTGACCCAGGGTCCCTGTGCTGAGAAACTCCTAGACCCAGGGGGAGACTGACAACAAGGACCTTCCTCCAGAGCTGACAGGGAGAGAAAGGCTTCCTCTGGAGCTGGTGCCCTGAATTCTGACTTCTAGCCTCCTAGACTGTGAGAGTATAAATTTCTGTTTGTCAGAGGATCCACTTGTGGTACTTCTGTTATAGCAGCACTAGATGACTAAGACAATTTCCAATAATTCTCCTCAATGAAAGACTCTCTATGGAATTGTGCACACCTGAAGGAGCACTGCCGGGCATCATTAGCATTGTTTGCTTGTTTGTTAATGATCTCATTCTTCAGATGTCATTGGGCACATTCTGTGAGCTAGACTCTGGCAGCTAGGATTCGGAGGTGGATAAAACCCAGCCCCTATCTTCAAGGACCCATGCCTAACAGGAGCAATAGCCATGAAAGGACATGGGCCAACACAAGGGCAATCCCTATAATAAAACCCCCTACAGGATGCAGTAGGATCACCTGACTACATAGCAGGACTGGGATCCCAGAAGATGGCATAGAGGTGGTGATGCTTGAGTTGAACCCTGGAGTTCCCCAGGTGACCAAGGCCAAGGAAGAGCATTCCAGGGGGAAATAGGTAGTGTATGCAAAGAAAGGCACAGGGACTTTAAAAAGCACGGTGTGGGCAAAACAAACCAACCAACCCCAAACGACGAGTAGTTAGTTTAGAATGGTTGGAGGATTGACGAAAGGTGGCTAGGGAGAAGTGAGGCTGGAGGGGCAAACCAACAAGAGGCAAAGCTAGAATAAGTAGGGGCATGGGGGTGTGGGGAGGGAGAAGGGGGACTCTGAGGGAGTTCTAAGTGGAGAGGAGCAAGAGCAGAGTTGCATACGAGGAAGATTACAGTGCTCAGCCCTCATGGCAGACAGCCAGGCCTGTGGCAGAGGAGGCTGGAGGCAGGGGCCTCAGGGAAATGGGAGCGCTGACCCAAGGCAGTGCAGTACTGCGGGAGTGAGAAGTATTTTGGGAATCAGGATCAATATAATGTCGAGACCGATAGGGTGTGGTGGGTGAAGGACAAGAAGAAGCCAAACTTGTCTACGAGATTTCTGCTTGGATAACTCTGTGAACTGAGATGGAGTTTCTCTGGGGAACTGGGATTTCAGTTACAGATGTGCTGAATTGGAGAGTCTCTCTGTACCCTCAGGTAGAAATATCCAGTGGCTGGGTGGAAATAATAGGATTGCTGCCACATGCTGAGTACCTGCTCCATGCCAGACACAGCAGTGATAATCCCCAGCGTTCACACACCCTAACCTTACCGATGAAAGGACAAGCTCATAGAGGACAGGGGTACAGCACTCAGGGTGCGTGGGGCTGGGATATGGACCCAGGTCTTCGTTTCTGACACCTTTTCTGCTGTAGTTATCAACTCGGGTGCACATTAAGACCACCTGGTGGGGGGCTTAAAAAAACTCCATCCCAAGTTCCAGTCTCAGAGACTATAATCCAAAAGCACAGGAGCACAGACTGGGATGTTAGTGATGGAGATATGGGGTCCTTAGTGTATATAGGAGCCTTGGTGGTGCAGTGGTTAAAGCACTCAGCTGCTAACCAAAAGGTCAGTGGTTCAAACCTACCAGCCGCTCCATGGGAGAAAGATATGGCAGTCTGCTCCTGTAAAGATTACAGCCTTGAAAACCCTATGGGGCAGTTCTACTCTGTCCTAGAGGGTTGCTGTGAGTTGGCATGGACTCGACGGCAGTGGGTTTGGTTTGTGGTTTAGTGATGGCGGAGAAGAAATGCAGGGAGAAAGTGTCTGTTGGTTTGTAAGGCCACCTGGAGAGCGAAGGTGGACTCCCAAAGACAACCCGCGGGCTCTAAGCGAGACTGGAGGATGTCTCCTGGATCCCTGCGAACTATCTTGACTCCAAGGTCCTGGCTCTATGATGCCAACCTCCATGCCCATCCTTGGCCTCATGGGTGTGGGTTTTTGCCTGCTCTTAAGTCTCCACTTTTTCTGACTGGCTTTGCCCTGGCCCCCCTCTCCAGTTCTCAGTGACTCTTAGTGCCTCAGATGAGAATCTGTTCACCCCACTGCAGTCCTTGAAGTTCCCTCACTCGACACACATACTCACCTGGTCACAGACAAGCCAGGGCCAGCGCCTCACTCCCACTCCCCAACGATGGGAGGAGGCAGAAGGCCGATTTGTCCCAGCTGCAGCTCAATATAACCTTAATTAGAAGGCCCTGAATCCTTACAAACGAAAGGAGAACACTTCCTTCAGATTCATGACAGGACCGAATGCCTTCTGAAGGGCCAGTAAAATAATATCGGATATGAGATTGGAACTAGATGAACAAATCAAAGTCAGGTAAAAGATGTGATGTGGAAGGAAGAATAATCGCAGGATTACATTATAAGTAGGAAGTCTTCTATCTGTGCTTCTCTCTCCGAGTAGTTAGAGGTCGTGGACCACAACGCAGACACACACTAAACGTGCAAAGTCATACATAAAAATCCAGACGTAAAGAGCTGGGTAGACTTACACTTTTGGGTCCTCTTGAATTGGGGGCGACTTGATTTGAGAGCAAGAGATAGCGTACTTGTTTTGGCTGATCTTAATAAGTGCGCTCCGAGGGCAAAATTCCTGTAATAATATCAAGAGAGTTCACTCAATGTGAATCAGAAATGTCCACAATTCAAATATAAGTTTATCCTAGTTTGACCCGTTATAATAGCTACAAGCCATTTTCTTATCAGGATAACACTGAAGAGAGCAATGGTTGATAATTACTTGCTGAATGAAAGTCATCTTTAAGGGTTTTTTTGGTCCTTTCTCTGTCTTTGGGATCAATTGCCAAGTCCACCCACATAAGCAGACTCTCTCTCTCTCTCTCTCTCACACACACACACACACACACACAACACACACACACACACACACACACACACACACACCCCTTCGTATCATCCCTTCCTTTCTGTCTTTGGAGCCCTGGTGGTGCAGTGGTTAGGAGCTTGGCTGCTAACCAAAAGGTCGGCAGTTCAAATCCACCAGCCGCTCCTTGGAAACCCTATGGGGCAGCTCTACTCTGTCCTATAGATCGGGTCGCTCTGAGTCAGAATCGACTCTATGGGAATGGGTTTTGTTTTTTTCTATCTTTATTTCAGCCTGAGTCATCTCCTTCCCGGATAACTATAACCACCACCCCTGTGCTGAACGCCCCCTTCAGCCCCTCGGACTCTCTCAGCGACACCGTCAGAATGGTCTTACCATGCCACTCTAGTCTCCAGGGGCCCCACTGCCTCCTGGGTAAATTCCAAGGTTCTCCCTGGGCTCTAGGGCTCTTCCTGGGACTTGCTGGGGCCCTGGGTCAGTGCTTCATCTCTCCCCACCCTGGGGCATGCCCAAGGTCAACACCCCAGTGTTCCTGGGTTTGCCCTCCCCGTGCTGCCCAGCAGACAGCCCACAGCAGTGCTGTGTGTCGGCAGCTTCCTTTCTTTCTGTCATTCATACAGCTCCAGGAAATTCCACTGTCCCGAGCGTTTTCTCTTTTTTCTGGATTGATGAGTAGACACCCCTTCCCCCTCTTGTTCTGTCCATATTACACACAGTGTTCCTGCGGCCACTGGCTCTGCTGGGCTTCACCCTTCATCCTGAGCCCTGCAATTCATTTACCACGACCCTCTCCCGGAAGAAAATGCCTCACGTCAGACTCAAGAATTTACTGGATATTTCTATTCTGCATACTATGCTGTTTTTTGCTTGACAGTCTATTTTCCAGGTATATTAAGTGGCCCATCAAGACAATGCTACTTCCATAAAAAAAGTCACTCATTCAAGTAATTTAAAAAACAATTGTGAGAACCTTCTCTTCACCAGGGGCTGTGCTGGAGGCACACAGATGGATAAGACTTGTTGTTGTCGTGTGCTGTCAGCCAGTTCTGACTCACAGCAACCCTATAGGACAGAGTAGACCTGCTCCATACGGTTTCCACAGAGTGGCTGGTGGATTTTATAGTTAGCAGCCCGAGCTCTTAACCACTGCGCCACTACTCCAGAAAGACACAGTTCCTGCTTTAGAGGAGCGGAGAGTCTGGCGAGGAAGCCAAGGTCAGGGAGGAGAGGGCAGTGTGCAGGAGGGCCTCGGCGGGAAGTCAATTAGGCGGGCTTTGGGGTGACAGGAGCTGTCTGTGGAAAGGAGACGGGTAGGGCAGTCCAGGAAGAGGGAAAATAGCAGGGGCTTGGGGAAACCCTTGTGTCTGAGAAGCAGCGAGCTTGGCAGATGGCTGAAGGTGAGGTCAAGTGGCAGGCGGGGGCCATGCTGGGTAAGGATTTGTCTGCCACTTGATGGAGTCAGGACTTTTTCTTGAGGATGGTGACAAGTGTGTGGTAGGGGGAAATAAATAGGCAGATGGAGTGACTGGATTTATATATCGGTAACAATTTTTTTCCTAAAATGTTTAGAAAAAATACATAGGAAAATACATTTTCGACCTCAGCGTAAGGAAGCATTTCTCAAACAAGAGACAGAAAGGGCAATTCACAAAGGAAGATGGGTGACCTTGAATGCATTAAAATTTAAAGCTTCTCTATCAGCAAAGGCCCCATAAACAAGATTGAGTGACGGGCAACAGACGAGGGCACGGATATGGGTAGCAGACAGGCCCAAGAACGACACCGAGAAGACACAGAGAACTCCCACAAATCAACAGAAGAGACGAACGAGCCAAGAGAACATCTGGGGCCTGCTGACTGTCGGCTGCAGGGGCTAATGAACCGGGAGGTGGCAAAGTCAGCCAAGTCCTCCGACTCACTGGCCGCGGGCAGCGCAGAAGCAGACTCAGACCGATGCCAATAACTATCATAGCCGGTCTCGTCACTACCGTGACCTGATCCTCTGTGTCAGACACAGAACTAGATTTCTTACATATATATTTTAAGCCTCACAATTTCCACGCTGTGTATAAAAAGAAAAACCAAACCTGTTGCTGTCGAATTGATTCCGACTCATAGCGACCCTGTAAGACAGAGTAGAACTGCCCCATACGGTTTCCAGGGAGCAGCTGGTGGATTTGAACTTCTGACCTTTTGGTTAGCAGCCAAACTCTTAACCACTATGCCACTAGGGTTTCCATGCTACGTATATATGTATATGTATGTGTGCGTGTGTGTATGTACATATGTATACATGTATGTATGTATGTATGTATGTATATGTGTATATGGAACCCTGGTGGCGCAGTAGTTAAGAGCTCAGCTGCTAACCAAAAGGTCAGCAGTTCGAATCCACGAGCCACATCTTGGAAACCCTATGGGGCACTTCTACTCTGTCCTGTAGGGTCACTATGAGTCAGAATTGACTCGACAGCAGTGGGTTTGGGTTTTTTTTTGTTTCTATGTATACACACACATATATACATATACTTTATATATATACATATATATACATACAAACATATATTCTTCTACTTATTTCATACGCGATGAAACTGAGGTTCAGAGATGAGCAGCAACCTGCCCATGGCCAGACAGTGAAGAAAGGGCAGAGCGAGTGTGCAGTAAATCCAGACGCATCTCCTTCACTGTTCCTGTAGAGTCTCTGTTCTTTCCAGTCTGCTCCACTTTGCGCCTCCCCCACCAGGGCACACTCCTGCCTCCCCTGGGGGACGTTCCTGGTCAGGTATGAGATGGGGAACCAGGTAGTGGCATTCCTCAATACAGGGATCCCAGGAAGAGTGCAGTTAGGGGGAGAGCTGATGTAACTGGCTTGGACGTGTTGAGTTTTAGATCCTGTGGCTCACCCAGAGGGAGATGTCCACTAGGACCCAGTTGGAAAGGCAGAGCTGGTGCTCGGGGCAGGCAGAGGGGGAGTGGTTACCACCGGCACAGAGGGGGTATGCCAAGATGGAGACCCACCAGGAGGAGGCAGAGAATAGAGGGCTGGAGAAGATGGGGAGACACCACATCTGCAGGGCTGGAAGAGAAGCCTAACTAAGGCAGGAGCAGTCCGAGGAGTAGAAGGGGAAGCGAGAGAGAGCAGCACTGCAAGGACCCAGGAGGATGACGATGACGCCAGCAGCGAGCCCCCCAACGCCAAATTGTGCAGCGCAGTCAGACAGAAGGAGAGCCAAAAAGACCGTAGAGGCCGGAGTCAGGCGCCATGAAGGTCTTAGTAAGGGCAGATTTTGTGTTGCAGAGAGGGCAGAATCCAGCCTACAGGGAGTGGATGAGCAGGGAAGAAGTAGACACAGCCAGGGAAGTAATTCTTTCAAGACATCTGGTGGTGTCAGGCAAGAGCTGGGTACGCACAGCAGAACGGCAACAATGAAAAAGCCACTTTCTGCCTAGCCAGAAAGTCCTCTCCTAACGAACGTCTACTTACTCTCCGGTTGTTACACTTTAAAACGGTGTAGAATTTATCTTCCGGCACATCCTGATTCGGAAGGGCTACGACAATGGCAGGGACGTAGAAGTCAAATCCTTTGGGTATCACGATTTTGGCAAACACATAATCTCCCACCTGTAGAGAAGAACATATTTCATAGCAAATATTATGCTTAGAGATCTCATAGATAATATGAATATTAGCTCAAAACACTCTAAGATGATGGTCAAGTACTGAGTCTGAAATCCATACACGTATTTTGTCTCAGTCCGCTGGAGCCCTGGTAACACAGTGGTGAAGAGCTCAGCTGCTCACCAAAAGGTGGGTAGTTCGAGCCCACCAGCTGCCCCTTGGAAGCCCGATGGGGCAGGTCTCCTCTGTCCTGTCGGCTCGCTATGAGTCAGAATCGACTCAATAGCCACTGGTTTGGTTTTTCGTTTTCGTTTTTTAATTGAGCACAGTTAGGAAAGAGAAAATGGTTTCAATATTCTCTGGACTCACTGGGAATTTTCTGATCAGTCTGGGAGAAGCTGTATTTTAGCAGGTCTTTGACAAGTGACAGAAGGTCCAAAGGACAACCAGCAAGATGGTGCGGGGTCTGGAAACCATCGCCTACAAACACTGGACGAAGGAATGTGGAGCGTTTAACGTAAAGGCTAAGGAGAGACATGACCAACCAATGTCCACGTGTGTCTGAAGGGCCGTGATGCAGACAGAGCAAAGGAGCAGGTTTGTTCAGTGTTTCTCCAAAGCCCCCACCTAGAACTCTGGGGAAAGCCATCAACAGGTAAATTCCAGAGGAAGTCCACAGCAGAAGGGAAAGCTTGCAAAGGGGCATGGCAGAGGCTCCTGGGCATTTGTTGGATGGAGGAGATCAACTGTCAGGGAACACGCCAATGTGTGTGAGGGGTCTGGAGGAGGGAAGCAGAAACAGACCACCACGCTACATCCTCTGCTTCCTCCTTGGGGCGCTTCCCCCGGCTCACAGTCTCCAAGAAATAAGCGCAGCCAAGCTCTGGGAGACATCCCCCCACAGTCCTAGAGGCTACTCCTTGGCCTTGGTGTGGGGATTAGGACAGCAGGAGGTGGACGGGCAGACACATGCAGCTTTTATGCCTTTGTGAGTAGATGAGCACACATCAGCCTGGCTCACCTGTGGACTAACTGTGCATCACGGTCTGGAATCAATCGACTACAGAGTCGAGAAAAGCGCCACCTCTGCCCTCACTAAGGAGCCCTGGTTTCACAATGGTTAAGCGCTCAGCTGTTAGCCGAAACGCTGGCAAACCCACCCAGTGGCTCCAAAGGAGAAAAGACCTGGCAATCTGCTCCTGTAAAGACTGCAGCCTAGGAAACCCTATGGGGTAGTTCTACTCTGTCACATGTGGTGACTATGAGTCAAAATTGACTTGACGGCACCCGACAATAACTTGTTAAATTAGTTTCAATGTAATCTCTGCTATTAAAACTATGAAAGTAAAGTTTCGTGAGCACTAGTAGCTCACGTCAACTCCCTTCCTCAACCATCCACTAGTGTTCTGTAAAGGGACAAGGGCCACAAGGGGCAATGCAAGCAAGTCCCCTCAGCTGTGAGCTACCTAACAGGGAGTTAGCCGATCAGGGTCATGAGCAAACAAAATGCCAGGTAATGAATGAGTCACGGGAACGGGGGCCTGTGACCGCTCTTCCTGCCCAAACACCAGCTCCCCGCAGGCGCCCAACCGGGTGCTCAGCAAAGCCCCAAACATTGGCCTTGCCGTCCACTCTTTCTCAAAACACTGTGAATGGTGAAGAGGGGCCACGGGACAGATCACGGGTACCGGTACCTGGAGCATCGGGCAGGGCATGGCGCCCCCCACAGGTGTGATGTAGGAGGTGGGCACAACCTTGGTGTCTCCATACCTGAAGCCCACCAACGCATGGGTGGGACTCACACACTTCTTCACAACCCCTGGAAGGAATCAAAGAAAACATAAACTATAGAGACAACGAATGCCTGTCCCCTTAGGTTCGCCCGGCCCTGTTGGCCGTGCTAGATCAGAACACTTCCCAGTTTAAATCAGCGTCCCGACTGATTTCTCCATGATGAGCTCTGCTGCACGGGGGCTGAACAACTGAAGTGCTGTGAGCACAGTGCTCTGTTCAGGAGCACCCACTGGGCCGGGAGCCAAGAGAATGCACGTAAGCTTGTTCACCAGCACCCATCCTAACGGGAACGTCGGTCCTGGAGGGAGGACGCTCACTGCACACCTCCCACCATTCACTCCTCCGATTTCCTTATTTATGTACTTCAGCCATATTTACTTCTATCATGCTTGAATATAGGAAAGAGGCGCTAAACTGTGAAAGCAAAAAGAAAACGTGAACTTTCATCTAACATTAGATAAATTAAAAGATAACTAGGTTGACCGTACCAAACAGCTGCCTGAAGATATACAACCAAAAAGAAAAAAGAAATAAAATAAGCAAGAAGTTTCTTTGCGTGTGTTTTAGCTATACTCACAGAGATAATTATACTGGTTATATATATATCTATATATATATATAATATGACCTGTGCTAAAATTGACATTTTTTTGCTCATTTATCTTAGTTGAAATTTATTTTACTATTAAAAACGGATCCCAAATATTAAGAGGAAATGTTGACCTGGCCCCTTCCCATGACAGTGACAGCTGCTTGTGGAATGTCACCCAGAGACAGAAATGTAGGCACATGACCCCACTGGGCCCCTGAAGGATGTGCGTCTGGCGTTCCCGTCCCCAGTCTTGGCAAACGTCCACGTCCTTTCATGTGTCAAAGAGACAGCTGTGGATTTTCATCTTGAGTCCCCATCTCGTTTTAAACGGCCGAAGAGATGAAAACTTTTCTTTTTTTTAAACACACACATGTGCAAACCAGCTCTTCCACTGGGTTTGCGTTTTCTTATTGGACTAAAATGTTCTACTTGGTTTTTAAAATATTCTTTACACATTAGTCACACATTTTCTACCATAAACTGACTTTAACCTTTTAATTGGGAAAAGAAACAATGCTTTTTAGAAAGCATTTCTATTATGAAAACAAGCGCCGCTACTCCTAGTGGAAGGGGCCCTGGTGGTGCAGTGGTTAAAGTGCTCAGCTGCTAACAAAAAGGTCAGCGGTTCGAACCCACCAGCCACTCCACAGAAGAAAGACGTGGCAGTCTGCTTCCGCAAAGATTACAGCCTCAGAAAACCTACGGGGCAGTTCTACCCTGTCTTATAGGGTTGCTATGAGTCAGAATCAACTCAACGGCAACAGGTAACGGGTCAAGGGTGCGTACTCCTAGCGGAGAATGAGGAGAAGCATCACATCCCACAAGCTCTCATGCCCTACACCCCCTCCCACAGTTCAGAGGGAAGGGTTGGTGTTGCCAAGATGGCCTCATAAGCCAGTCTGAGCTTTCTCAGATTCTTAGCCTCTGGGGCTTAGAATCCAGCCTTAAACCTGCTATACAGTTTCTCAGTTGTTTGCTTAGTTTGAGCGCTGGTGACTGGTTGCCAACCCCACGACATGTCAACACTTTCCCATTCTCGACCTTGGGTTCCCCATTTCCATTCGTCCAGCTTTCCTGTCCCCTCCTGCCTTCTCGTCCTTGCCCCTCATCCTTGTGCCCATTTAGTCTCGTATACATGGTTGAACTACTGTGTTATTGTTTATTTTGTAGACCCGTCTAATCTTTGGCTAAAGGGTGAACCTCCGGAGCGACTTCAGTACTGAGTTAAAAGGGTGCCCGGTGGCTACCTTTTTCAGTTTGCCAACCCTTGCGCTAGATCATTGTTGCTGTTTGCTGCCGTCAAGTTGGCTCGTGACTCACGGTGACCTCAGGCCCAACGAGATCAGACCATCGTGATCCATAGGGTTTTCAACGGCTGATTTTTTGAAAGTAGATCACCAGGCCTTTCTTCCTAGTCTGTCTCAGTCTGGAAGCTCCACTGAAACCTGCTCAGCATCATAGCAACACACAAGCCTCCACGGACAGATGAGCGGTGGCTGCACTTGATGTGCACTGGCCAGGAACTGAACCCGGGTCTCCTGCGTGGAAGGCGAGAGTTCTACGGCTGAGCCACCACTGCCCCCTCTGGATCATCAGCCCTAGACCTTTTGGCCGTTACTACAATCTCTTTTTAGTTCTCTCAGTTCTGTTTCCTTGTTTTGCATAGTCTCTGTAGATGTGGGACTTGGTTTGCCTCCGGAAATCAGTGCAGTTTCTTACAGCCGCACTTGAAAAGCAGCTTCAATGCGTTCCCCTGCTGGTGGTCCACCAGCGGGCGGGAGGACCCAGCCCGGGCCTGTCCAGCTATGGCTCAGCCTCTGCAAGCGCTCCTTCTCCATCCAGTTAAGCAATTGCTGCTGCTTCTTATGTCCTGATTCAAAATCAGCTTTCAGTTTTTGCCTTTCCCCTTCACTACCTACGCCCTCTGCTCCCCCAAGTGAGTAGCAGATCTTTCACTTTTTCTCATCATACACGGATGGTACTGGTAAAAAGCCTGAGCCAATCTCCTTTTCTCTGCAACCCTGGCTGGTAAACTGATCTGAAGCCTAACCCGGCAGTGTGGAATCCAGTCCTTTTCCGCGTTATAATTTGACGGTCAAATGCGTCTTGGATCAGTCTCCACAGCTCAAGGTCAGTAAATCAAAAGTTTCTCAAGCAGAGACAGCCTTCTGTAATCATACCCCAGAGAAACGAAAGATTCCCAGCCCCTCCTGGTAAAGAAGAGCTTCCCTCCTCAGCGTATGAGCTCGTTTCAAATGCGTCCATATCTACTCTCATTCAGTTAATTCCAAAGCACGCGCACCAAATTTCAAATAAAACGTTCCGGTTGTCACTTCTACATATACGCCTGCTGGGAACCAAAAGTCTTGCTGAAGTGTTTTTTTTCTCCCCCATCTTCTTTATAATAAAGAAGATTTAGTGAAATTTAATTAACACAGAATTATTCTTTAACTGGTGGTTGATAGATAATACCTGCCCAAGACCAGCTGTGTTTCTGCAATATAATCTTTTTGGCAGACAGCCCTTCCTCATGGTTCTTTCCCAGGCCCTCTCGTCTCTACAGACCCTTCCTATAATTTCAATGACCACCTTTGTGTTGACATCTCGAAAATCTCTATCTCCAGAGAGCTCCTCTGACATCTTCAGTTGAGTATCTCATATACACCTACAATCCATCACGTCCCCGATGTACTTCATCATCTGCCCTGCCTACACCACCATCTCCTGTAAGTACCACTGTCTACTTCACGGCCAGAGACCCAAGTGAGTGTCGTCTCAGCCTGGCCCTCCTCTCTCCCTTCACAGTCCTCCTCCAGTCTATCACTAGGTCCCGTTGAGGCCGTCTCTTACGTATCTCTTGAATGCATCCATGTTTCTCCATTCTCACTGCCATTATCATTTCCCACTGACAATGACAGCCTTCAGTCCTGCATCACCACCAGCTCCACTCTGTATTTTGCACAACAACGAGAGGAATCTTTGAAAACTGCAGGTATGATTGTGTTTCTCCCTGCTTTGAACCATATATGGCTCCCCAGTGCCCTCAGAGTAGAGTCCAAACTCTTTAGCATGGCTTGTGAAATCCTTTATGAGATGGTCCTATACTTACCTCTCCAAAAGCTTTACTATTTTCTACCCTCTTTTGTATCCTAGGCGCCTGTCATACTCTATTCTATTTCTCCAGACATGTGATGCTTTTCTTCACCACGAGACGTACTCACGCACATTGTCCTCACCATCCACAAGGCTCCCCTTCTGCCTCTACCTCCCACTGAACTTCATCTGGCTGATTCCTTTGGTAATTGAGCCCCCAAGGAAGTCTTGGGCAAACCTCAGGCCCAGCCACACTGGCCTCTTTGCTGCTCCTCCAACATGCCATATATACTCCAGCCTCAGGCCTTGGTACTACTGCTCCCTCTGCTTACAATTCCCTTCCCCCAGAAAATCTCATGGCTTGCCTTTCCTTCTTTAAGTCTTTTCTCACACATCACCGTCCCAGGAACTCTTCCATGACCCTCATATTTGGAACCACAGCTTCATCCTGACACTCCTGACCCCTTTGTGGCTTGATTTATTTCTATAGCATGGTATCTGACTTACCACACATTTTACTTGTTTGATTGCTTGTCCGTTTCCCTCACTCACTAGGATGTAAACTCCATGCAGACTAACACTTTGGGAATACTCCATACACGGAACCTAGTAAGTATGTAGTAACAATTTTGTTTACTAAACAAATGAGAGATGAAAATGAATAACATTTTCTGGCTTTTTTTTTTTTTTTGCCACGAATATAGGGAGAAATCTCATCATCATTTTTTACTTGAGAAGTAGAATACTTTAATCTGGCTCATGGAATGTCAGTGTTCTAGGGCAGGTACAGTCTGAGAACCTCTGGTCCCCAATATCCAGTTATTTAACAAAGGAATGTTACAAAATACAAACACCTACCTGGAAAATAAAAGCCATTTTCTTCACATCTTGCAATAACTTTCTGGCCTTTGAGAGGATCCAGTCTTCTAGATTTGCTTTTCTTTGTTGGATTTCCTTGTGGTTTCTGTTGCTAAAAAAATTAAAATGGTAATGATTGATGAGAAAGAGTCAATGTAGACAGGGAAAGCCACAGGTACTGGGTAACTTGGGATTCTCTACTGAGAATCACGCCCTTAATAATTCAGAACACACATAGACTGTATGCTCAGTCTGGATTACTTGCTGTTCTGTGTTAATTAAGTTACTCCTACAGTAAGAGCAATTTCTGCCTGTGTGATTTTTATACCTAGCTCAAGGTGAAAGGAGATTTGGATGACTAATTAAAGAAAAGGGAAATAAAGGAAAATTGTATCCATCTACGACCACTTCCCGAAACTCTACAAAGCCTCTAAGCTGGAGAGGAAAGACTGTGGCATCTTTGGAGCCATGGCCAGTGTTGCTGCTTGCCTAGAATCATGAGACATTGAGTGGGTCCTTCAACAGAAAAGCCAATAATCAATCAGTGACTTTGAGAAAGCACAGCGCTTTGCAGAAATAGTATATCTCACTTCACCTCTTCAGGGCAAAGAAAAATCCTTATAACCACTCTCTTACAGAGAGGGAAAAAACCCATGGGCTGAGATTGGCTAATAAATGGATTATCCATGTTCCTCATATCTTCTGGCTGGAGCAACAGTGGATGCTAAAAGGCAATAGGGCACTCCTATCAAAGCTCTGACAGAAAATTTGTAATCTAGAATTCTAAACCCAAATTGATAGGTAAACAATCAATTTAATGTTAAGGACAAAATAAGGACTTCTAGTCATGTCTATAAGGGTGCAGGAATTTTCCTCTCCCATGTATTGTATCTTAGGAAGTTACTTGAAGAGGTACTCCATGGAAATGAGGGTGTAAACCAAGAAAGAGAGATGTATAGAACCCAGGAAACAGCAGGATTCATGCCACAAGAGCAGGAAAGGGAAATGTCAGGAGGAAAGCTATGCAGAGGGCATAACAGCAGGAAGAGTGACAGGAAAAAATGAGGACTTAGAAATCCTGGAAATACATACATACATAATCTACATAAAAAATATGACTCAAACGTAAAACAAACTAAGTTGTGGCGTAATTTCCACTAACTGAGGGAGTAAAGGTAATGAAAGTCTTTTGCTTAATGCTAGTTAACATTCTTCCATTGGTCAATGTATCACACAGGGCTTGAAAGAGGAACATGTACTCCTCAATCATGACTTGGCCCAGTATTGAACAATATTTACCCAGCAAAAAGTGCAAACACTTAAAAATTTTTTTTAAACATTTATAGTCAAGCTTCAGAGAGCACAATGTTGACAACACAATGATCTAAATGCAGCTCTTTGAACATATGAATGAAAAGAGGGGGTGGGGAAGCACTGGCATGGTGTTACGGATTGAATTGTGTCCCCCAAAAATATGTGATGTAAATCCTAACCTCTATGTCTGTGGTTATAATCTCATTTGGGAATGGGTAGTTTTTGTTAAATTAATGAGACAGGAGTGCAGGGTGTGTCTTGAGTCAATCTCTTTTGAGATATAAAAGAGATTAAACAAGCAAGGGAGTAGGCAGAGATGGGCGAAGAGAAATGCCAAGCCACATGAAGATTGCCCAGGAGCAGAAGCCCAGAAGAGACAAGGATGTTCCTATAGAGCCGACAGAGAGAAAAAGCCGTCCCTTAGAGCCAGGGCCCTGAATTCAAACTTCTAGCCTCCTAAACTGTGAGAAAATAAATTTGTTTGATAAAGTCATCCATTGTAGTACTTCTGTTATAGCAGTACTAGATAACTAGGACAGAATTTGGTACTCGGAGTGGGGTGCTGGTCTAACAGATAGTTAAAATGCGGAAGCAATTTTGGAATTGGGTAATGGGTAGAGGCTGGAAGAGTTTGCCTTGAAGAGATTGTTGGTAGAATCATGGCCTTCAAAGGCAATTCTGATGACAGCTCAGAAGAAAGTGAGGAGAGCTGTAGAGAAAGTCTCCATTGTCTTAGAGAATGCATATGGCACCAGCAACAGAATGTTGCTAGAAATGTAGATGTTAAATATGCTCCTGGTGAGGCTTTAAAAGGTAACGATGAACATGTGATTGGACAGTGGAGGAAGGGCGATGCTTTTTATGTAGTGACAAAGAACTTGTCTGAATTATTGTCAAATGCTTGGTGGAAAGTAGAACTTGTAAGTGATGAACCTGGATATCTGGCTGATGAGATTTCTAAGCAATAGTTTAAAGGGACCAAATGGTTTCTCCTTGCCGCTTAAAGTAAAACGCAAGAGGCAAGAGATGGACTTAAAAATGAACTGAGCAAAATGAAAGCAAAACAAAGATTTGGAAAATTCTGTTGTATAAACTAAGGACACGTGTCCTAGAATTTTCACCAATGACTTGGCTACACAATCTTTTGTTAAAGAGATTAAGCCTGTGACTGATGGATCTAACCAATTACCACAGCAGAAAACCCATCAGCTTAGACTAAAGGGGGCTGAGAAAGAAGAAAAGGAGAGGACGCTGTCTGCCTCTTGGAATTCTACAGGCAGGAAACAGGCCAAAGGAGCTACATCTGTTGTCCTCCAAGAAAAGAACCATCCCCAAAGCAACTCTGAGAACAGCAGAACTATTGGAAGGAGTACAAGAAGCAGGGCCTTCTTGGTTTCAAACGGTGGAGCCACGGTCTCTTGGATCTCAAAGGGTAGGGCCACAGACTCCTGGGTTTTAAAGAGTAAGTTCTTTGCCAACTTGGTTCCAGGGTGTGGGGTTGCCATTAAGGTGTCCCAGGGGAATGGGGATGCTGCCCATAGCTGAGGGGTCCGGGATGCTATGCCCAAGGGGCAGAAGAATGGGGCTTTCCAGGGCCAAGGGGGTGGGGTCCCCACTCAGATGGACTAGGAGAACGGCGCTGCCCAAAACTGAGGGAACAGAGTTGCCATCCCAATGGGCCTGGAAGGTGGAGCTGAAGCCCAGGGCTGAGAGTCTCACACAAAGACTTGTACACTAGCGTTCGTATCTCTGTTGTTCAAATTAGCACAAAAGTAGAAACAATGCAACTATCCACTGACTGAGGAATGAATAAATGAAACGAGATATATATCTGTACGAAAACAAAAACCCACTGCTGTCGAGATGATTCCGACTCACAGGGACCTACGCAGTGGAATATTATTTACCCATTGACGTGAAATATCCAGAAAAGGCAAATTTAAAGAGAAAGAAATGGACCGGTGATGGCCTGGAGACGGGAAGCACGATCAGAGATTGACTACAAACGGGTATGAGGGGTCTTTTTGGTATGATGGAAATGTTCTAAAACTGGATTGTGGTGATGGTTGCAAATTCTGTGAGTTTACTAAAGACACTGAATTGAAATAGGTGAATTTTATGGTGTGTAAGTTATACATCTACAAATCTGCTTTTTTTAAAAAGAAGTAAAATTAGGCAGCCATTTATTTCTGGTCTGTTCTATGTAACTGATTCAAGTGAATGAGCAAAAGGGAGCTTCTGAATCTACTTAAAAGACAAACCACCAAACAATAGTTTAGCTTAACGAGTACAGAATGCCTGCCTTGAGCACTGTGCTCTTTTAAGATCTATCTAACAGCAACTTGAAAGATTAGATAGAAAACTTAGGGGGCAGTGAACTTATGTTAGTTAAGGAGCCCTGGTGGCGCAGTGGTTAAGAGCTCAGCTGCTAACCAAAAGGTCGGCGGTTCGAACCCAGCAGACCCTCCACCGGAGAAAGATGTGGCAGTCTGCATTCTTAAAGACTGACAGCCTTGGAAGCCCTATGGAGCAGTTCTAGTCTGTCCCATAGGGTCACTATGAGTCAGAATCGACTTGATGGCAGTGGGTTTGGGTGGGAGTTTATGTTAATGGGGGAGGAACAACTCAGAAAAAGGAGGGTGGTACGACTTGGAGAATGTCAAATGCCACTAAATTGCAGGTGAAGACGTGGTTGAACTGGTGTATGTTTTGCTGTGTATATTCTCACCACCACCAACAAAGAAACAAAACAGATCATAAAAAAGCCAACAAACAAGCAACAACAAAAATAAACCAAATAAGCCTTTTTTTCTCCAAATCACATACTGCAGAAATGGGATTTTCCCTCCTAGGCTTTTTTTTTTTTTTTTCCTTCCATTTTTCCATTTGTTGATCATTCACTTATTAACTCTTGGGCTTCTCAAAGAAATTAGTCCGTCATCCCAATCAAAGTGTGCATTCAACTCATTCTCCAGCTTCTCCTCTTCGCAGACCATCAAACGCCCCTCTTCTCCATGATACAAAGCCCAATATGAAGCGTTTTCACGCGCATTCTGATGCCGCCTTTTTGCAGTGCTGTAGCTATATCATAAAGAAAGTATTCAGCGCATACTTTACGAGTTCATCTGCAGCCCCCCACTTAAGGAAGTCTCTAATTTATGAGTCAATTGACTAGAAAAATTTGAATAACTTCAGGCAGTCTGAACACCATTTGCTTTTGGGTCATTATTCATGTTCAATACAGTTTGGGTTCTGGAAATAAGTGGGCTCATTTCCATGGCGTCCTGATGCTATGGGGTTTGTTAGCAGCCATTTGTCATTTGGGTCTGTTTGGAGGTGCTTTTCAGGTTCATGGAAAGAATTGGGTGTATCGTTTATTTCCTCAGAGAATAAAATGTAGAGCCAGGTTCTCAGAAGTAAGGAATTAGTAAGCTAAGGGGCTAAGGCCTCTTGAAGGAATTGTGGGACATTATCAAGTCTTCAGACCTGTGTTGCTTATAACCCCTGCAGCCATGGACAAAAATGTAATGTGAGGACTACTCTTTTTTTTATGATGTTCCCATTTAGCTGATTTTGCTCGGGTCCCTCCCTTCTCACGGAAGTTTCACTTTTACTGAGGCAGTCAGTATGTCAAAGAGAATAGCCCAACATCCTTGGCGGATGGTGAATGTTATCTGTTTCTGGGCTTTCATCCAGAGAAGAAACCTAAGCAACCCTTCCACGGGGCATTCAGATGGCCTCCTGCAGTCTGCAGATAGCCTCAAAGGGAGGAGACTAGGCCAGGAGAGAGGAGCAACAGG